AGATACAAACATAAAGGGGATCCAAATAGGGAAAGAAGAAATAAAACTCTTCCTCTTTGCAGATGACATGGTCTTGTATTTAAAGAATCCCATAGACTCCACTCCCAAATTACTCAAGCTGATTCAAAACTTTGGCAAAGTAGCAGGGTATAAAATTAACCCTCAAAAATCAATGGCTTTTCTGTAGGCCAACAATGAGAAAAGTGTGGCTGAAATTAGGAAAGCAACTCCATTTGTAATAGCCCCACAAAAAATAAAATACCTAGGAATTAACTTAACCAAAGAAGTGAAGGACCTCTATGATGAAAACTTTAAAATCTTGAAAAAGGAAATCAAAACAGAACTTAGAATATGGCAAAACCTCCCATGCTCCTGGATTGGAAAGATTAACATTGTGAAAATGGCAATACTTCCCAAGGCTATCTACAAATTCAATGTGATACCTATCAAAATTCCAACGTCATTCTTCAAGGAAATAGAAGAGGCAATCTAAAAATTCATATGGAACACTAAAAGACCCCGAATAGCAAAATTACTCCTCAACGGAAAGAACACTGCTGGAGGAATATCAATACCAAATTTCAAACTCTATTGAAAATGTGTTTGTTTTTATGGGCAGGATATGACTCCTGAAGGCAGCAGATAGAAGGATCTTGCTTTTTAATCCAACTAGACAGTCTATGTCGCTTAATTGGAGAGTTAAGTCCATTAATGTTGATAGATAGGACTGAGAGGTATTTGGGAGTTCCTGCCATTTAATCCACCTTCTTGGGGCTGCTGCTACTGAGTTCTTCCTATGGTTCTTGGATTCTCAGTTTGGGTGTGGTTTCTTGGCCTTTATTGTAATCTTGTTGGTTTTCTCTGTGTGTGACATCTTTAAGAATCTTTTGTAGGGCTGGTTTGGTGGAGATATATTGTTTCGATTTTTCTTTGCTATGGAAGGTTTTTATTTGACCTTTGGTTATGAAGGAAAGTTTAGCTAGGTACAGAATTCTTGGTTGATAGTTGTTTGTCTTTAAGGCATGGCATACATCATTCCAGGCTCTTCTTGCTTTGATTCTCTCCGCTGAGAAATCTGAGATGATTCTAATTGGTTTCACTTTATAGGTGATTAATCTTTTCTCCTTGACAGATTTAAGGATCTTTTCCTTGGTCTGAGTTGATCCTGTGTGGATTATAATGTGATGGTGGGATGTCCTATTCTGGTCTGGTCTATTTGGGGTTCTAAAAGCTTCTTATATCTGAATAGGCCTATCTTTTTGCATGTTTGGGAAGTTCTATGCTAGGATCTTGTTAACAAATTTCCTAGACCATTAACTTCTGTTTCTAGGTGTTCCTCTACACCCATTATCCTTAGATTAGGCCTTCTGATGGTGTCTTCCAGGTGTTGGATAGATCTATCATATTTCTTGGATGTGTCTTGGATGGTTGTATGTTCTCTCTCTATAATATCTAGGCTTTTTTCAATCCCTGAGTTTCGATCTTCTGCATGGACTAACCTGCTGTCAAGACTTTCTACTTTGTTTTTTATTTCTTTTCCTTCTGATTGGTCAGCTTTGATGGCTTCAAATTCTTTGTTGAAGCTTTGTTTTAGATCTTGTATGAACTTCTTTACTTCCTTAATTTGGTGTTCAGTGTTTATTCTCAAATCACTTAGTTGATTGGTTATGGTTTCCTTGGACTCCCATTCCTTCTGTTGGGTTCCATTCAGCATTCCCTTTGTGGTCTCCCTGACTTCCTTCAGCTCTTTGTTAATGGATTTCATGAATGCCTTTAGTGATATTTGTGTATTCTCATCCTGCTCTCTCAATTGCTGTATTACTCTTTGATTAGCTTCCTCACGTTCATGTGATTCCTGTAGTTCTCTTTGAGTGTTCTCAGCCTGCTCACGCCCTTCCTGCCTTTCTTTTTGAGTGTTCTCAAGCTGCTCATGCAATTCCTGTATCAGTTTTTGAGTAGCTTCCTCACGCTTATGATATACCTGCATAAACCTTTTGTTTGCCTCCTCTCTCTCCCTATCACGCTCATACAGAGTGCTTTGTAGGTTTTCAATCTTTTTATTACCGTGTTTACCACCAGTGTTTGTAGAGCTATTTGAGGACTCTCCTCTGAATTATTCATTATCTGTTCTGTTCCCTGATTATCATGAGCGGGGTTGAGATACCCGGACTTGCCATTTTTCTTGTGTTTTTCCGGCTTACTCTCCCCATTTGGGATGAAAATAACACCAGTTTTGTGCTAGAACACTATGTTAAGGCAAGCATCAACCAAAGTCTGAATTTGCACAGTCAATAGTCTGCAGACACAATCTAGTTCAACAGATACGTCTATTCAACATCAAACAACTAGGTATTAATGGGCTATGAAACGCAAAGAAGAATTTGGAAAACCAGAAATTATTAGGGTTAGGGAGAGATGTGGGTAAAAAATAGGAATAGAGGGATGTGGGAAGGCACAGGGAGAGGTTGAAAGACCCCAGACCCCTAGGGTGCTTCCATCTACGGGAGGGCACCTCCAGTAAACAAAACTCCAAACCAGCAGATGCAATAAGCAAGAGGAATTTATTCGGCATTTGTGCAAACGGGCTCTCTGCCCCGGTCAGTCAGAGAGCCCCGAGCAGCAGTTACAGGCACTTTTAAAGGCAAAAACCACAGGATTAGCATAAGACACCGGGCGCCCGGGATTGGCTCAATTTAAAAATTTTAAAAAAAAAAAAAAAAAAAAATCATATATTCCAGCAATCATTTTGTTGCGCGGGAAGTCTTGTAACACTCGTCGTAAACTGGTTGACTCTCTAGGGGGAGTCTTCCCTGGAGGGAAGTCCACATAGTTACAGGCTTGTGATTGGTTGACATTTGACCTAGTTTGCTGGGCTCGCCAGATGGTCTTTATCTTGAGTTCCTTGCTGAGAGTTTCTAAACAGGAATTTAGAAGAACATACTCTTTTGTTCTTTATCTATGTTTGCAGACCTTCTCCCAGGGCCTGCATCTGGACTCTGAAACTTTTTACTTATTTCCCGGGAGGGTCTGTGCTAGCACAAGCAAGTTTACAGAAGCAGAGTCAGCAGTTAGTAAATTGTAAAATGGACGCAGCCCTAATTTCTCTAATTCTTCATTCCCTCCTTTTCTTTGGACTAATTTTAATCTTAAAATTTAGGGTGTCTCTATATTGTTTACTGGGGTGTCAGTTGTTCTTAATGCTTGGTACTGTTGGGCTAATACCATGGCTTGTATGACAGATAGTCTCTCGCGGATAAACTGTAACAGCTTATTGAGGATGCAGGGGCTAAATGTGAGAAGCAGAAGTAGGATAATGACAGGCCCTGCTATCGCAGACAACAATGTAGTAAGCCAGGGGGATCTCGACCACCAACTCTCGAACCAACTGCCCTGATCGGCTTTTTCCCAATTTCGCTCCTCCAGACGCTTGCAGAGCTTGGCCATAGAGTCACACGCCACCCCAGTATGATCAGCATAGAAGCAGCATTCTTCTTTTAGGGCTGCACATAAGCCTCCATCCTTGATGAAAACCAAGTCCAAGCCCCTGTGGTTTTGGAGCACCACCTCTGACAGGGAGGTGAGGGAGGCTGTTAACGCAGAGATGGATTTTTCTATTCCCTTTAAATCCTGTGCCACAGCAGCTTTTAGTTGTTTTAGGTGTTGATAGCCTTCCACATATGCGGCACTCCCCATTCCTGCCCCCGCTATACCCGCGGCTGTTCCGAGGCCCATGAGGACAGCTAGGGTTATGGTGACGGGTTCCCTTTTGTATCGGGTTAGGCCTTCCGCTAACTCCTCAAAGGATCGGGAGTCATGATATATGACTCATGGATAGAAGTGTACTAGAACACAGAAACCAGTCTGGTCTATTAATATCGGGGAGATGCATGGAGTCAACCTGGTACTACAAGCCCACCACCCTCCGTCCGTGGGTGTCAGGTATTTGCCAGTAATAACCAGAACCTTTACTGTGTGGGCACAGAGCTGGCTCTTTTCATGGGGTGGAGTGCCAAGACATAGTCCCTGCCCTGATACCTCAGCTAGAGTTAGTTTGCTAGCACCCTGTTGTCTCCAGGGGCATGAGTCAGTGTAGTTGTAGGTACCATTGTAAGCTGTTCCTTCATAATAAGGGGGTGCCTCAGAAAGGCAGAGCCAGCAAGACCGAGTGAGGTCACTTTTGGTAGAGTTGAGGGCAAAGTAGGCTCCCTCAATCAAATTGTACAGGGGGGGCATCTGGGGCATACTTGGGTTGGCAGTGGCTTGTGGGAAGGTATGGTAGGGCAACCGGTTTATGGAAAAGGATCTTTTCTCTAGAGTGGGGTTGGGCCCTAGAAGGCGGGGGCTTGCGCTCTGCACCTGGAGGTGGATAGTCACAAGCCCGCCATCATCGTAACCCCAATTGTTCGTACGCAGCCTAATTCCCCATGTGAGTCCAGTTGCCCAGCCCAGATTAGGCACCTTTCCCTTGGTGGTGAACTTTATAGTAAGTTTTACGCACCATCGGTGGCACCCTGGGTCGGCGCATTTCCCATTTCCTTCATCATACCGGCGGCCATATTCATCCCAGCTGTATTTAACACCTTTTTTTGTCGCACCAACCCTTCTGACTGTTATATAATCCCAAGAGGAGGTAGGGTTCCAGTAGGTGTCACCACTGGTTTTGCAGCCCCAGGCTTTACAAAAGTAATCTTTTTCTCCCCCACATTTGTATGTGAGGGAAGGGTCCCGGTGCCCGCCGGGACAGGCATAGACAGGGTAGCCTTGGTGGACAGCTTTTCCATATGATGCATCAGCCCGATTAGAAATAGATATGCAGAAGTTTGGTGCTAGGTCGGGCCACCATGTCCAGAGAGGGGCTACATTGGAGACAGACCAAGTTACGCCCCCATGTTCATCTACCACTTGCCAAGTCTGGTTATAGGGAGAGTGTGGGTTTGTGCCCACCAGGGGGTGGACTCTTTGTCCCTCAGCTACTGTTAAGGTTATAACAGCAAGGAATATTAAACAGTTTTTAAGAGTCTTATCTTGAGAGGATTTTGAGTGCGCTGTAGCTTCCATTTGGGTGGCTCTGCAGGGTCCTTCTCATCTCCAGGAGGCGCACGCTTGACATGGGAGGCGTGGATCCAGGCGGCGATCCCATCTACTTTTAGCACAGTAGATGTGGTCAGCAGCACAGTGTATGGGCCTTTTCACTGCGGCTCAAGAGTCTTGGATTGGTGTCTCCTCACGTACACCTCGTCGCCGATCTGGAAGGGGTGTGGGATAGTGGAACTTCCCGTGGTGTAGGCAGTGGCCAAAGGTTTCCACACCTGTCTCTGGATGAGTTGCAGAGCTCGCAGCCGCGCCTGTAAACTTTGGGTATTTGCAAAAGAATCAATGGCAGGGTCAAGGAAGTCTGCTATGGGAGGGGGTCCCCCATATAGGATTTCATAGGGGGTCAGTCCATGGCTTGCCGGGATGTTACGAGCTCTAAACAAGGCCATGGGAAGGAGTTGGACCCAGTCTTTAGTGCCAGTTTCTAGGGCTAATTTGGTTAGGGTCTCTTTAATTGTCCTGATCATTCGTTCTACCTGTCCTGAACTTTGGGGGTGATAAGCACAATATAATTTCCAATCTATCCCCAAAAGCTTGGCCACCATCTGACTTACCTGGGAGACGAAAGCAGGGCCATTATCTGACCCTATTACCTTAGGGAGCCCGAATCGAGGGAAAATTTCTTCCAGAATCTTTTTGACTACTACTTGTGCTGTCTCTTGTTTTGTGGGGAAAGCTTCTGTCCAGCCGGAGGAGGTATCTACAAAGACTAGGAGATACTTAGCTCCATACTTGCCAGGCTTAATTTCGGTGAAATCGACCTCCCAGTTGGTACCGGGTCGTTCTCCTCTCATTCTGACTCCAGCGGGCTCTTGGAATCAGCCTGCATTAACCTTGGCGCAGGGAACACAAGAGTCTATGACCTGTTTAATTATGCCCGATAGATCTGGAATGTAATGAAACTGCTCCTCCCTCTGTAAAAGAGTCTCCAACTTTTTGTAACCCAAGTGGGTCCACCTGTGCAAGTAGGTAACTGTTGGGAGCCGACAGTAAAACTCCAAGGTCATCTTGACCCTTGTGCTCACTTAAAGGCACGTACAAGGAACTGGCTTTCATGAATAACACCAGGTGTCCGGGTTTGCCTTGCTATGTCTGTAAAATTTGTTTTACTTTCTATCAGTTAACCTTGTCTTCTTTCTTTCTGCACCCTTGTTTTTATTAAAATTTTCCTTGCTTTTCTGCACTATGGTGACCTTAGGTTACCTCTTGACTTCTAATAGTATAAATAAGGAGAGTTAAAAATAAACGGGGCTGCAGTCTTGAGCTGCAGACCTCCCGACCCCATCCTTTGTCTTATGTCTTTATTTTTCCGTCCTCGCCCCCTAAATCAGGAGTCCCTTTCGTTGCCGGCAGGCTCCGGCAGGTAACCAGCCTCCTCGCATCCTTTAGGGGCAATATAGTCCTGTTTTCATATTCCCAAGTTCCAGTCGAGTTATTAAAGGTTGCCTTTAGCTTTTTGGCCACCTCTATGTCCTGATCTGAATACTGGAAGAGAGGCTGTTTGTTTGGCTGTCGTTCTCGTGATGTGACCAAAGCAAGGGTTTGGTTCTGTAAGGCCACCGCCTTAGCAGTTTCATCCGTCATCCTGTTCCCTGCCGCTACAGGGTGCCTCCCCAGTTGGTGACCTGGGCAATGGACGATGCTCACCTTTTTAGGTAGGAAGAGGGCCTGCAGGAGGTCTAGGATTTCCTTTTTGTTTTTAATGTCTTTTCCCGCCTAGGTTAACAGGCCTCGCCTCCGATAAATCTCTCCATGGACATGTGCGGTAGCAAAAGCGTACCGACTGTCTGTATAGATGTTGACTTTCTTTCCCTGGGCCTTTGTCAACGCTTGCGTCAGGGCAATGAGTTCGGCCTTCTGCGCTGAAGTTCCAGGCTCTAGGGCTGATGCCCAGATGACTGTGGTCCCATCCACTACTGCTGCTCCCGCTTTTCGCTCACCCTTATGCAGGAAACTGCTCCCATCCATGTACCAGGAGTGTTCAGCATCTGGTAGGGGTTAGTCGGTCAAGTCCTCATGGGTCCCGTGTACTTCTGCCAGGATTTGATGACAATCGTGTTCGATGGAGAGGCGAGAGTCTGAGTCTGGAAGTAGAGTTGCTGGGTTGAGAGAGACTGCGGCCCCGAACCAAATCCGGTCTGGATTTAGCAGCATTGTCTGGTAATGGGTGATCCGAGCGTTTGAAAGCCAGCGGTCAGGGGGCTGGCAAATGACTGTCTCTATGGCATGGGGGGCTGTCACCATCAAGGGTTGTCCCAAGGTTAATTTATCAGTGTCTTTTACTAACATGGCCACAGCTGCAATGATACGGAGACATGGGGGCCATCCAGCCGCCACACTGTCCAGGTTTTTTGAAAAATAGGCCACCGGTCTTCTCCAGGGTCCCAATTTTTGGGTCAGAACTCCTTTTGCAATTCCCTGTCGCTCATCCACATATAAAGTGAATGGCCTGGTCACATCCAGGAGGCCCAAGGCCGGAGCTGATAATAAGGCCTTCTTAATTTGATCGAAAGCCTGTTGTTGTTCTTTTTCCCATCGAAACGGGGCATTTGCCTTGGTAAGGGGGTACAGAGGGGCTGCCAGTTCAGCGAACCCTGGTATCCACAAGCAACAAAATCCAGCGCTCCCCAAGAACTCCCTCAGTGCTCGCGCACTTGTGGGTGGCGGGATCTGGGTGATGGTTTGTTTGCAGCTCTCTGTTAGCCACCTCTGCCCTCCTTCCAGCTTATAGTCCAGGTAAGTCACTTGCCTAACACAAATTTGGGCCTTTTTGGCTGAAGCCCTGTACCCCAACTCCCCCATCCTTTTTAAAAGGGCCCCGGTACCTTTTAGACAGTCATCTCGAGTCCCAGCTGCTAGGAACAGATCATCTACATACTGTAGAAGAGCGAATTGGGGATGATTGACTCTGAAGTCAGCCAGGTCCTGATGTAGAGCCTCGTCAAACAGGGTGGGGGAGTTTTTGAATCCTTGTGGTAGTCTTGTCCATGTGAGCTGTCCTGAAAAACCTGATTCTGGATCTTTTTATTTAAAGGCAAAGATTGGCTGGCTCTGAGGGCTGTCTCATTAAAAGCATCTTTTAAATCTAGTACTGTATACCATGTGTGGCTCGGGGGCAGCATACTTAGTAGGTTGTAGGGATTAGGCACCATGGGATGTATATCCTCTGCCCTCCGGTTTACTTTTCTTAAGTCCTGTACCGGACGGTAGTCTCCTGTCCCGAGCTTTTTGACGGGCAGTAAGGGGGTGTTCCATGGAGACTGGCATGGTTTTAGGATGTCCAATTGAAGCAGTCTTTGTATATGCAGCCTGATTCCATTTTTGGCTTCCCTACGTAGTGGGTACTGACGTATCATCACCGGGGTAGCCGAGGATTTAAGTTTAATGACCAGGGCTACAAACCAGCCCCATTCCCGCTGTCTCTGCCCAAGCCTGGGGAAAATCTGATAACCACTGGGGGTCAATCAAGGCCAACTGAGGGCTTGCATGTAACCGATGTTTATCCTCCAGGCGCATGGTTAGGACTTGGAGGGGCTGTCCTTGGGGTCCCTTAACGGAGGCCCCTTTTCCTTGGAAGTAAATCTGGGCCCCTACCTTTGAGAGGAGATCCCTCCCCAACAGCGGATAAGGACAGTCTGGAATTAGGAGGAATGAGTGAGTGACTAGCCCCATTCCTTTTCGTTCATTTGTCCATCAGTACAGTTTTCTTCCTGTGGCCCCCTGCATCAAGGATGTTTTAGAACTCAGGGGACTTCCTGACCAGGTTAGGACCGAATGTTGGGCACCAGTGTCAACCAGGAAGGTTACTGGCTTGGCCCCCCACTTGAAGGGTTACCCGGGGCTCAGGGGGGGGCTTCTGGCCCTGACTGTCCTAATCTTCATTATCCTGTAGGGACAATACTTGTGCCGGCCTTCGGGGTCCTCTCATCTGCCCCCTTTTCTTCAGGCAGTTCCTGACCCAGTGTCCTGTTTCCTTGCAGTATGCACACTGGTCACGGCTCACCAGAGGTCTCTTTTTGTCCCCCAGGTTCCTACCTAACCTAGCCTCTCTCTCTTCTGGTTGTTGCACTACGGTGGCCAAGATCTTACTTAACTCTTTAGTACGTTTCTTGTCTCGCTTGTCCTCTCTATCCTCCTTTCTTCTTTGTCTTCCTGAGTTTTTTTCTTATTAAAAATTTTTTCTGCTTCCTTAACCAAGTCCTCCAAGGTATACCCCTGGAGCCCCTCCAACCACTGTAGCTTAGTCTGAATGTCTGGGGCCGATTGCCTGATAAATGACATAATGACATCGGATTGTCTATCTGCATCGGAGGGGTCAAAGGGCGTATACATACGGTACCCTTCCATTAGTCTCTCTAAAAATCCCACAGGCGTTTCCTCAGCTCCCTGCATTATTGCACGTACCTTGGCCAAATTGGTGGGGCGCCTTCCGGCCCCTTTGAGACCTGCCAACAGAACCTGGCAATAAAGACAGAGCCGATCCCTACCAGCAACAGTGTTGAAGTCCCAATTAGGCGGGTCAGCGGGAACACTTCATCGATCTCATTAGGCAACTGCGTCGGTCTACCATCCTCTCCTGGAACATTTTTGCGAGCCTCTAGGAACACTTGTTGCCATTTCTCCGTGGTAAGGAGAGTCTGTAAGAGTTGCTGACAATTGTCCCAAGTGGGCTGGTGGGTTAGCAGGATGGATTTAATCAAGCCCGTCAGGGCTTGGGGCTGGGGAGCTCTTTGTATCTGAAATGGGTAATAGGGTGTGGGGTTTAATGGAAGGCAGAGCTGGAAGGTCAGAGTGGGGCCTCTATCAGTGACAGGACACCAGAGCTTGTGGGAGGGAGGCAGAGTTTATATCCCTCTATAGGTTAGTAACTGAAAGAGGTGATGGTGGGTAACAATGGTAGGCTTGTGCCCAGGTTCAGTTTCTTTGACTCCTGTATTAGGAAAGACGAGATGGCTAGGCCATGGAGGCAAGGAGCCCAGCCCCTCATGGTAGGGTCTAGGCATTTGGACAAATAAGCAAACGACATCCGATCTGCTGATGTAAGACTTTCAATACGAAACCCTAGTTCTCAGTTCCATGCAGAAAGAACAGGTGTGAAGGCTCCAAGAGCCTGAGAGCAGGGGCCTGTGTGGAGGCCGGTTGGAGCCAGGCTCCTAAAGGGAGAAATGTGAGTGGAGGGTGTTCAGAGGGCTTCCTCGGGTAACCCTCTAGCTGCTTCATATAAGGGACGAGTTAGGAGGGAGTAGTTGGGGGTCCAGGACCTGAGGTAGTTGGCTAGACCCAAAAAAGTAGAGAATCTCATTCTTAGTGGAGGACTAGGGTAGTTAGTAATCAGGAGTTTGGTGGGGATAGTAAAAGCCTTGTTTGTGGCTGTGAGTTGAACACCCAGATAAGTCACTGACTGCTGAACCACCTGTACCTTAGTGGGTGAGACTCGGTATCTATGTGAGGCCAGAAAGTTAACAAGGGTTACCTCGGTGGGACTACACCATAGTAAGTGACCTGGTCCCAAAAGTTTACTGTGTAGAATAGGATCGGTGGCAGTGAGTTTCATCTGTTAAAACAAGGTAGCTTGCTGGGCGCTGGTGACTCACCCCTGTCATCCTAGCTACTCATGTGGCTCAGATCTGAGGATCACAGTTCAAAGACAAGCCAGGTAAGAAAGACCATGAGATTCTTATCTCCAATAAACCACTCACAAAACACAGAAGTGGCATTGTGCCTGAAGTGATACAGTGCTCGCCTTGAGCTGAAGGGCTGAGGGACAGCACTCAGGCCCAGAGTTGAAGCCCCACATGTAAAAAAAAAAAAAAAGAGCTTACCAGTGTTGTCACTTTTCTGTGGGTTTGGTCAGAAATGGAAGGCGCTCTTGGTGAGGGTTAGATAGTGGGCCAGGCTTTATGGGGGCCCTAAAGCCTGCACCGAGGCCAGGTTGCCTAAACAGAGTGGTTTCACAGTTGTAGGAAAATATGTACTGTCATCAGAAATAAAGGACTAGGCAATGGTGAGGGTGCCTGTTAATACTGTGTTTACTTGAATATGTTTTTTGTTTTTCTTTTTAAATACGTTTTATATTGTAAAAATACTTTACAGAGGGGTTGCGGTTACATGACTAAGGCAATGCGTACATATCCCGTCGAGCATTGTGTATTCCTCCTTTGTTTTTCCCCAAGCATCTCTTAATTCCCACCTCCACAACTAATCCAATACCACCCTCACCTCCAAGTTATAAAGTTCATTTTCAACATAGTGTCTTGTACATCTCATTGTTACAGTGGGTCAATCTGTATCCCTATTTAAGCATTTGTCTTTTCCCTTCCCCTCCACAAATTACAGAATTGTATGTACAAGATGCAGGGCATTGGAATCAAATACATTGAAAACAGGGATTATACCATTGGGGAGGAATATACAGAAACAAAAAAATCCTATAATACATTATAAATGCCTCAAAATCACTTGATTATTTTATTCTCAAGTTTAATAGTAGTTAAAGCATATATAGTTACATGATAATCTCTAATAAGAGTAAGGTACTGATGTATAGCCATGAGTTAGAAAAATGTGGAAAAATGTTTTGATGTTAGTATAATTTGTGGAGAGGAAAGGTAAAAACAAATAGTTTAAATAGAGATAAAGTGGACCCATTGCAACAATGAGTTGTACAAGTAGTTATGTTGAAAAAAAGAACTTTACAACTTTGGCCAAGGTGTGGGGGTGATAGATGGAAAGGGATGGGAAGGGGAAACAAATGAGGAGGCAACAATGCTTGATAAGAATTGTACTCATTACCTTGCCCATGTAATTTTAACCCCTCTGTCTGATATTTTCACAATTTAAAAAAAAGGTAACATTGTTCAAAACAAAATGAACCCGTTATCTGACTTATGCAGCTGCAGTAACCCCCGTGTAAATCACCTTTACATTAGGAATAAAAAAGAAAAACACTAGACTTACAGATGGGATTTAACACTAGACTTATTTAGAAATGGAATTTTTGCTTAAATAAATGAAAAGAGGGGAATTGATCGACCATTTTAAATAACAAGGTGACCCCTCTGTACAGTATGTTCACACAGTATGTTCACAAAAAATTAAAATTAAAAAAAATTAAAAAAACAAGGTGATTAGCATCTTGGAATATAAAACATGTTTATCAGGGGGTGGAAACAGCAAATTAGGTGATAAATAATATAAAAGTAACTTATAGGGACAATAAATACCTGTCAATATGGTAAGAAACAGTTGCTGAATAGGAGGAATGTGAGAACAGGATTAAGTCAACAGGAAGAAGTGAAGGAAGGTAAAAGGGAAATATTTCACATTATCTCCCCAGTTGGTGCCATTATTGGTGATATGTAAGTTAGACCACAGGAAAGGGTCACTGACATGAAGCCAGCTGAGAGATTGTGGAGACTCAGAATCCAAGATGTTAGCTAGATGAACTCTAGATTGTGTTAGTGTTGAAATTTTCTTAAAATGACAAAGAGTGATAGACCAACATAGAGAAGTTTTCAATGATGCAGGGAGAACTAGCAGATCACTGGCAGATTATAGCATCAAGAAGAGAAAAATCTGAAAGAATTTCAAAGCAATTTTGAATGTTTGAAAATGTGGTAAAGGAAGGATCTGGAACTGGAATAAAATAGGGAACTGAAAATGCTTAGGAAGCCATAGACCCTTAGTCTCTTGCTCTTGCATGAAAGACTTAATCCTTAGTATTGATTCCCTTCATCAGTTGGACTCATTTCCCTTCAACTGTAGGCCAATCTCTTCCTGCCTGCCCAAGGCAGTATTGAGCCTTGTCTACCATGGTATCAAGGGAATGGGAACACACAGTACACACACTGCTTCTCAGGCCAACCCTCACATAGACAAGAATGTGATATGTTTGTTTTTTGGTGTTGTGGATGTTTGAACTGATGGCTTTCCTTATGTTTAAGCACAAGATGACCTACTTGCTGGCAGGCTCTATTCCACTTGAATGCTTGAGCCCCCATCCAAGCACAGTTTGCTGCAGGTTTATTCTTGATTGATTGATTGAGTTTTGTTTGTTGAAGTTTCAGTGATTGATTGCTTGATTTTTATATTAAATTTGTCATGCCCTGGGCCTACATGCTGTCTATGAGCTCTTCAGCTCACAGGGTTGCTCTACCTTTTGAGCCACAGTGCTACTTCTGAATTTCTGGTGGTTAATTGGAGCTAAGTGTCTAAGTGTCTCATGGATTTTCCTGCCCTGATAGACTGAACTCCAATCTCTCAATCTCAGTCTCCTGAGTAGGTAGGATTACAGGCATGAGCCACTGGTGCCTAGGTGCTGCAGTTTCTTTTGAGTTGAGTCTCACTTGTTTTCCTGGTCAGCTGGATCACAAGCCCCTATTGAAGATCTCATATAGCTAGTATGACAGGCACACACCACCATGCTAGGCCTTTTCTGTTAACATGGGGTTTGTGGATTGTTTCCTTGGGCTGGAATGCAAGTCCAGTTCTCTCAATCTAGCTTCCTGTGTAGATTGGGATGGCAGGAGCAAGTGTTCTCACCTGGCTACCAATGAAAATGAGTTCATGAGAACTTTGGTGTGAACTCTTTGTCCTCAAGCTGTGATCTTTCTCCTTTTTATCTCTCAAGCATTTAGGCTATCAAGCATGACCAACCAGAGCCCCAAGAAAAACAAATCCTTAGCTGACTCCACATGCAAATTTTCACTATTATTTTCTTCCAATACTATTTTGGTGTTTACATTCTCCCTATTCTGAAGAATTTAAACTTTCCCAATTCTGAATATCTGGAGTTTTCCACTTAATATTTTCAGAGCATGGTTGCCTCTGGGCAGCTGATAATTGGGGAAGTGAACTTGTGGAGAAGGGTAGGACTACAGTGTGTGCCTCCTGCCCATCTCTGCACTGGAGGAATTCTTGAGTGGAGAAGGGAGATTTTCAGAAAAGGCTATAGCACTGAGTTGAATGGAAAGGCTAGAGAATGTCCGTAAGGAACTTCCACCTTGCAACAGACAAAGAAGTTGAGCCAGGGAGGCAAAAAGAAAGTCAGAGATCCTAGGGAAATCCTGAAGGAAAATAGTGAGTGGGCGATGTATTTTCTGGAAATATTGAGGAAGCAGATATGGGAATGAAGTTTTTGTTTTGTCATTTTTTAAGTGCCAGAACACCTTTTCCTTCGAAGGATTAGTAGACAAGTATAACAAAGGACCTATGGGAATATAGCTTCTCAAATCTATTTCAAGGGCATATATTTTGATAAAGGCTTAAATGTAGATTCCAAAATATGCTCCTACTACAACATGTAATTCACCACAATTTTAGCTGCATTTCAGGTTCATCTCATAACTGCTGATACCTTGCATGAGAACCTTAATCTGACCAATGAATTAAATTAGCTTATGTTATCTTTTTACCTTATGTCCTGGGTATCCCCCTCTGTTTATCTTCTTTTGATCCTATGCTCATGAGTTTGAGGTTTTATTGACATGTGACTGCAAATACTATGTATATAGAAAATATTTTTTAATGTCAAGGTAATGTAAGGATGGCTTTGTTACATCAGTTATGAAACCAGTAAATTCCTAGTCAACTTTGTTATCCCATCATTCAGAATTCTCCTACCTTGCTTTCCCCCTACCCACCACACCAAGGTTGTACAGATATGTCCAACATATTGTCTTGTGCATATGGCTGTTGCATTGGTTTCCTCCTTATCTTATATTTTTGATTCCTTTCTTTTTCTAATTCCAATGAACATTACATAGAATACCAGTTGGAGAATCAAATACAAGAACAATAGAGATTATACCAAAGGGGGGAGAAGATACAAAGGAAAAAAATCCCAAAGTTGATTAAAAACAGTAGCAACAAAGAAAAACCTCTTGTGTCCATTTTTTATTTCCCTTAGCATCATCTTTTTTTGTATGATTTTTATTTTAAAAATACTGTACAGTGAGGTGACAGTTACATGAGCAAAGTAATGAGTACGTTTCCTACTGAGCATTGATTCTTCCTTCTTTGTTTTTCCCCTACCATCCCGTTGCTCCCACCTCTTCAATTATCCTCTCCTACTACCTCTGCCCTGTCACACGGCCCCCCCCCCCATCACATTGTAAAGTTGGTTTTTCAGCGTAGTGGCTTCTACATCTCATTGTTGCAATGGGTCAAGCAGTATCCCTATTTAAATATTTTGTTTTTTCTCCCCTCCCCAAATTATACCAACATCTAATACAGTGAATACAGGAGTTATACCATGGCTGGAGGGGATGTGGCCAGAGGGTAAACACTACTGCATTGTTCAACCACTTTGGAAAGCAGTATGGAGGTTCCTCAAAAGACTACATAGAGCTCCCCTATGACCCTATAATCCCATTTACTGGCATTTACCCAAGTGATCACAAACAAGACCAAGCTAAAGCGACAAGCACAACTATGTTTATTGAAGAATTATTTACCATAGTGATGACATGTGTGTCTTAAAATTGATTTCACCCCATTGAGAAAATATTTTCCTTTCTATTTTGCATTCAAATTGAATGGAAACAGGGCAAGGACCTCACCTGGAATAACTGCAGTTTCCTTGGCATTCTAGTGCCCTGGATGCAGACTCTGAGTGGAATGGTTTATCCTGGGTCTTGGCATTGAGGCCATGGCACTATCTGCACTCAGACCAGGACTGAGGGTTGAGGGCTAGCACAGGCCTTTCCTCTGAGATGTTTGAAACCCTGGGGTTGGCAATGTGCAACACTCATTGTCCCTCAGTCAACGCTCATGGGAAACTCTGGTGCAACCTAACAAGGCCAGAATAGCTGAAGAGGAGGGAAGGCAAGGTCAGAGCTCAAATGCTCTCATCGGGAAGACAACCTATATAGGTCAGCATGGCTTGGGCAGAGTGTGTCTTGTCGACCTCACAGCATCAGAGCCAGTGATCTGCATCACAGTCATCAAAGTCAGATCCTAATAGAAATGGCAGAGCCAGGGGCAAGTGTGAGCACAGTGCCCATTTCTCTACCAAAATGTCAGCTGTTCCTCTATGGCAGAGTACGGAGAATATGTGAAACTCTGAGGGAGTTCCTGGAGGGCAGGTCAGTGTGTCCAGTGGCAGGTATTAGCAGAACACTGAGGATACTGGATCCTTTGTATTTTCCAGGATTGCAGGTGCAACAGAGGAGTTCTGTGGCCTGGGCCACATTTTCACTATCACTTTGACAGCAGAGAGCATTTGTAGAAAAATATCTGAGGTGTGTCATGGATTGAGTATCCAAGGAAGATGGCTTATTACCTAGACCACAGAGTCACTGTGGTCCTGACATCAGGAGGGAATTATGGAGAAAAGATACAGAGTGTTTTCAGGAGAGGAGGTCACTGGAGGGTAGGGTGTGGCCTGGGCCAGTCTTGTCTGGATGTGCTCAGCCATAGCCATCCAGACTAAGTAGAGACACTCTTAAATGTTGTGTTGTCTCCTCTTCCTATGAAGAGGTGGGGAGCTGGCTCCACACTTGATTTTGCCAGGGTGGGAGAGGTCTTATTCTGGAGAACAAACTCACATTTTTCCAACACATTTTTGTTCTCAGGCATCTTCAGGCTGGTGGAAGAGGGACAGAGAGTTAAGTCAGCAGTATTGATGGGAACTGGGAGGCACCAAACATTTGAGAAGCTCCTACAGACACATTTTGAGCCAGGAGGCTGCAATTCCTGCAATCCAGTGCCAGGACCCCAAACGTCTTGGCATCCCTGCCTATGAACTGAGCCTATGGGAAATGTATCTTGTGTTGCTTAGGAAAGAATTTGGGAATGTAACTCAAGCAGGCTGTGCCTGGAGGTAGGGCAAGGGATTAGCCTCCTGTGCTCACTGCTGCCTTTATAATCAGGAACTCCAGGCACAGCAGGCTTTCCCTAATGCACAGCATGTCTTAGGAGCACTGTCCTACTGGGAACAACACCATGGGGCAGGCATGGACTCAGGCCCCCTGCACAGCATTCATTCCAGGGGCCTCCAACTCAGTGGGCCCCCAACAATTAGCAAGACTTGTCTTTCCTGCCAGCTCTTCTTCCTCCCCAGTCTCCGCTGACCATGAGTTTCCTGTCAATTAAGTCTAAGCTCCACTCAACTCTTGCTCATTTTAGATTGCTTATTCTCATTCAGAAAGCTCCCTAGGGGGCTGGGAAAGTGGATCAGTGTTAGAGCGCTTGCCTTGCATGCCCGAGACCCTGGATTCGATTCCTCAGCACCACATAAGCAAAATAAGAAAAAAGCCGGAAGCGGCGCTGTGGCTCAAAGTGGTAGAGCACTAGCCTTGAGCTGAAGAGCTGAGGGACAGCGCCCAGGCCAGAGTTCAGGCCCCATGAACGGACACCCTCCTAAAAAAAAAAAAATCTCTCCCTAGGCCTCTGACTTCCTTTCCTGGAAGAAGGGAACCCAGGCCACCTACACAAGGAGAAGAGTGCAGGAAGCTAGCAAGGCTTGATGATAGGCAAGGGGGAATCAATGCTGATCATTCAGGCAAAGAACCTGATTAGATTTTCAACACAGTAGGTAGAAAATAGAGCAATGACACCAGCACAGTGGACTTGTGGACCCACACCATATGATGTCTCTCTCTGTCTCTGCTTTTGTCTCTCTGTGTTTGTGTCTCTGTCCTGTCATTAACTATGAGTCTGTCTGTATCTCTATCTCTTTCTGTGCATGTCTCTGAAGCCCTTTTTGTCTCTTTCTAGGTTTGTCATCCTCATTAGTTGTTGGGTACTCTCCACTAATTATAAAGAGAAGCACACAGGCAGAGAAGAGATGGAACTTTCCCGTGGTTTCTGGGATCTGTCTAGATGTCATTTTTCCCTGCACCTGGACTTGGTTCTGTTCTGAAACATCTTTTCTAAACACTGACTCTGCTGTTGCTGTCAGGGCCAAGCGGGAGCTGCTCCTGTGCTGTGGGCTGGGAGCTGCCACTGCCACTGAGGTCAGTTATGTGAATATGGTGGCTTCAGTCAGGGGTTGGCTTTCTGGAGGGAACTTCCCATGCACACCCTGAGTTACGTCTCCCCAATACCCTGCTGCTGTCCAGTTTAGGACCTTGGACAATCCCCCATGCTCCAACCCGGATCCATATTTGAGGGATAAATCCCATTCACAAGCAAGAGGAAGATGATGAAGCCCAGAGAGATGAGGCCTCTGACCTCAAATCAGGGATGCTGTCAGTGGGCAGAAATCAGCATCAGCCTCAGGCATCCCTGGTACCTGCCCGGCATCCTACCTGAACCCTGCCAGCCATTCCCCAGCCACTTACTTCTTTCTTCCCTTTGGAATTCCTGGGTAGGTCTTGCTCTTGTTTGTAGGGTCAGTCTGCCTCCGGGGCTCCAGTGCACACGATAGCTCATAGCTAAGACAAGGGGTGGCGGTGAGGTGACCAAGTGCCTCGCCTGTTCACTGCCACAGTTGGCTTGAACTTCAGAGCCTGGTGGGTCTCCCACATTCAGCCGACCAGAGTCTCTGTCGGTTCCCACTCACCCATGGTCATACCTCAGGGCTCTGGACCCCATTCTCAGGATGTCCCCCTGGTCCAGCCAGTGTCTGCCAACCCACCTGGCTTCCTCACTGAGCCGCTCCAGGCCCTTGAACCAGGCCAGAAAATTTTCTGCTTTGTTGAGGTGATAATATCTGCAGGTATGCTGCAGGTCTTTCAAATGTTGGATGATCTTATTTTCCTGGTCATGGAGAGCACAAGGGAAGGGACAGGGCAGGGCTGGCCTGGGCTGGGCTTTGCTGTCTAGGGAGGGACCCACCTCCTCTAGCAGCTCTGCTCACCGACCCTCCACTGATTCCCCAAATACATGTGAGATCTCACAGTTGTTCCCTCACTCTTAATCCTGGGGCTCTCCTGCATGCTACTACACAGCCTACCATGACAAGGGTGGATCTTCTCACTCATCCCATTGTACTCATGCAGAAATGACTGCTCATCAAGCTGGACAGGAGAAACTTGCAGGTCTCTACCCACCTTGTCCTGTCTGGACAGCTGACACTCACCTTATTTAATTTCTCCATTTGGGATTTTTCCTAGAAGACAGAGGGCAATGGAGTTAGGACTTGGCCCTCTACCCAGGGCCTCTTCTAGCCTGGGCAAAATGTGTGCTTATACCAGACTAGGGCCAGCTTTCAGAGGAGGGCTGGGCACAGGGCATCAAGTCAGGATTAGGGACTGTGTTGTCTAACACCTGTGATGCAAGGTGAGTGACTGCAGCATAGGGTGAAACGGCATTTCTCTTAGGAGAGGCTGGCTTCAGTTTGCCCCTAGTGCCATCCCATGAGGGACTTGAAATCCCAGCTACTCAATGTGCACAAACTCAGTGGTCATACAGCTGTGGCAAGCAGCTGCTCAGAGGGGCACAGGACGCGACACTTAGGATGGCCTCGAGGTTGTTGGGAGTGCCAGAGCTCAGGATTCCCAGGGAACTTTCTCCTCCCAGAGCCCAGGCTGCCAGCATGGGCCTGGCTACTCACATCATCGATATCCTGATATGCAGAATGTATCATCATGAGGTCTGTCAGGAAGATTCCCAGGTAGGGAATGATGCCCTTTGTCAACACCTGTAGATTTGGGTGGGTGATGGTCAAGGCCCAGGGCCCATCTTATACCCAATCTCACATGGTACCTCAATCATTCCTGAGCCTTACAGCTGCTTTTATGGCACAGTGTCTTGGGGAACCTGTGATTCCCCCTTGTGTCTAGACCCAGATTCTTGCTGCCTGGTTCTCCAAACTGCCCCAGGTCCAAATCTAGGCTGGCATATGCAGAACTCAACGTTCTGTAGCAATCTTCTGCCCTCCACCCATTCTAGGCTCTGCCAATTCCTCGCTCTGCTGGTTCTAGTTCCTCTATCCCTTCTGACAGCCAGCTCATCAGGACCACATCTGCTAGAGTGCAAATGCCCTTCTCCATCTGCACCTTGGGTGTGAGATGAAAGGTGAGCAGAGGTAGGCTCGCTGTGCCTCTTCTCTCTCAGCAACCTGGCCTAGGTCCCAGTCACTCACCATCTTCTGCAACCACCTGGGACCTCCTTGGAGCTGCTTCTCCTTTGTGGCCAACTTGCAAGACTCCTGCCAAGATTGTGGAGGTTGTTAGTGAGGGCTCTGTGCTGTCTGTCTTCCTAGTGTCATTGTCTTACTATAGGGACTGACATGGCTGCTAGGTTGTGTCAAAGCTTCTACCAGCTGGCAGAGGAATTCTAGCTCTGGCTTTGCTCCAGCATTCACTACTGTTGGCTCTGGCCTGGGGAGCTGGCCTCCTCTGCCTTCTTCCTCATCTGTCAAGTTTGCCTCATGTCAGTGGGGGGGCCTCAAGACTCCTGCTGTCTGCTACCAGTGGTGCTGTGATGACTGGCATGTGTGTCCAGGGCCTCCTCAGAACCCTGGAGGATTGTTTTTTCTCCTATTTGGGCAGCTCAAATGCCAGCCTGGTTGTTCAGCCCTGTGAGCTCCAAAACCCTTCCCATCAGGAAGGGGAAAATTGAGGTACTGAGAACGCTAGTGTTCTATCCAATGACTTAAGGTTAGCAAAGGACTGGAACCAAGGGTCTGATAACATTCTAGTTTGCTGGTGTTTTTCTGTCTATCAGGGTTCTTAGAGAAGGTAAGCAGAGAACGAGAGTGTCATGGACTTTCAGAACCTTCCTACGCTAAGTCTTAGCTATGCTCAGCAGAGTAGAGTAGGGTTCCAGACCACTGGAACACAGCCCCTGCTCATGGTCTGGGACAGGAAACCGTGGCTCTGTGCAATCCAGTACAGCATAGTTTAGGGAAGGACAAGAATATGCCCCTAGGCCTATGGCACATTGGGCAACAAGTACAATGTTTTCAGTAGGAGGAGAAGTCCCCAATTCTGGGTACCCTCTGCTTTCCAGGACCACCCTGTGTCCCCTAACAACATCTCAACCTCAGTGGCTTCCTAGGACTCCACGTGCCCTGACCTGCATACGTGCCTAGCAGACTCTTCCCTTGGCCTCCTCCCCAATAGAAAGCCAGTCATGCTTCTAATCCCCTTAGGATGGCACTGACTCCCCCGTGTCCACCCTCCACCTCTGCCCTCTGTCTTCACTTCCTCATGCCATACCTTTCGCAGCAGCTCTCTGCTCTTGGAGTAATTTTTTTCAGGAGAAGTGAGTTTTTCCAGTTTGTGGAATGTGTGCAAGGAGTCTCTGTGGGAGGGGCAGAGAGAAGGAGACAGTTGGAAGGTGGGGAGGAGGGAGTTGGTTTCCATTTGGGTTGGGAAGGAAGCTGCCCATGTGGCTGCCCAACAGGGTTGCAAACGGGTCCAAAGATTCGAAGAGTACACCAGGAAGGAGCAGTTGCTTCTTCCTGGCATAACCATGAGCCATCCCTCTGCCACTAGGCAGATCTGCTTTCATTTTAAATGGACACAGATTTTTAGCCACCACAGAAAACCTGGTGAGCTTCTGTGTGTGTGTGTGGGGGGGGGGGGGGGGTGGGTGTGTCTATGTGTGTATGTACACATGCATGAATTTGTGTGTATGTATGTGTGTCTGTCTGCCTGTGTGTCTCTGTGTCTGTGCATCTGTGTATGTTCAGTCTGACAGGAGATGTGTGAAGCCTGATACGAATTACCTAAGCTGGGACCAGGGAATGAAGATATCATGTGGACCTTTGTGTTCAGGGCTCAGGGAGTGTGACACCTACCATGTCTGCCCACAGCGCAACTGCTGTGGGAATAGGGACCCACCTGGAGACCTCTTGCCATGTTGTCTTCAGTCGGAAGATGGCCGCGCTCTGCAGGGCGGAGATGATGGCATGGAGTGAGGAGAAGTTCCTCAGGTCTCGGCAAGCCTGGAGAGGAAGATTGTGTGAGTCTTGCCTGACACAGCCGCCACCTGTGGGCCTGGACAAGAGAGGGATGCTGGGAGTGTCAGGACCTGGTCAGGGATGTAGGGCACCCAGGGGGATTGTGGTTCCTTGGGGCTGAGGAGCAGATCAGTGAGGGGCCAGGCTAGGGGTGGCTGGGTCTGGCTATCCCTGGGACACATGGGCCTGTGGTAGGAGGGACTGGGCTCCATAGAGGGCTCTGATCACAATTTCAAAATGCAGAATAGAGAAATTGAAAAGCAGAGGAGATAAACTAGGCATCAGAACCTGTAGCGTACCGTGGCCACCTGAATCCAGTGTTCGACCACACGCGCTCTGTCTGGGGCTTTCATGCTGAAGTCCCCCAGACAGGTGGTTTTGACACAGGAACATACATTGTTAAAGTGTGCCACCATGTCCCGGATGGTGGGGGCCAAGTGCTCCTTGCCCTTCTTGTGCCTCTGGGACCAGATGGATCCCAGGCAGTGGTTGAGCACTGCCTTCTCAAACAGCTCCTGAGGAAGATGGCCAGGGTCACCAGGCTGTGACACACCAGAGTGCCCAGGCCCAGGCCTTGTGGCTCCTCCTCACACACACAAGGGCATGGAGATGAGAGTATGTGGGAAGACCCTATAACCTGTGGAGTGTCTGTATCTGTTGTGCTGACACATTGCACAGAAGGGACCCCAAGGCAACAATGGTGGGAAGAGAAGAGCAGTGATTTGCCAAACTTTCATTCTTCCCAGAAGAGTAAATGCTCCACACAACACCTAATCTGACCTAGCTCAGACAAGAAATGTCCTTCCCCTGATCTAACGCCTATGTCCTACACCACTAGAACTAGCACTCAGGTCCATGTCTGGGCTGGGCACTCATCAGGTCCACATCAGGTGCCTGCTGAATAAGTGCTAAGGCTCACAGGGCTCCTGGCACAGGAGGGTGAGCTGTGTGCTGGCTGCCCTTCTTTCTGCCCCAGGCTTGATTCTGCACAGCTCCTGGCATGGGAGCGGGTCTCATCTCAGCTTCAGGGAGTGCATATAACCAAATGGAACTAGACAAAGTGGTGCTAGGTGTGCTGGAACTCAGGCTGGGGAAGAAGAGATGGGCAGCAGGGAAATGTGACACAGGCCAGAGCAGCAGAGGGCACAGGGAGCCCTCCTTCACCACAGCCACCCTGCCCAGCCCCTCACCGCATCCATCGTTGTGAGCTGCTCTGCCTCCAGGTGGGGGTGGACAGCCAGGAAACAAGGCATGTCCTGGCTGTGTGAAGGCTCTCCGGTCACCAAAGCAGGATGACAAGCTTCTTGGGCAGGAACAGATGTGCACGGCAACTCAGATTCCCAAGAAGCAGAGTGAGCCTGCTCCATCACCACAGCCAAGGGCTCTGGGGAAGGATTGCAGGCAGCTGCTGTCTCCGCACTGAGTCCTAGAGCCAAGTTGGGATGTGGCTCTGGCTCAGTCCTCGAAGCCAGTGTCTCCTCAATGCATATCAGAGGGGCTGCACTGGATGGTGGCTCTGTGGCAGCACTGGCCACTGCTGCTCCCTGGGCATGGAGCAGCGCAGCTGAGGCACAAGATGCCTCCATCTCAGCATTGCAAGCTGCTGCCTTCTGGAGGGGCAACAGCGGAGTGGAGGTGCAAGGTGACTCCCTCTCAGCCCTGGAGGCTGCTGTGTCCTCAGGCCTGGGCTCCAAAGCCATGGTGGAACCTGGCTTCAACTCAGCCCTGCAAGATTGTGTGAGTTTTGTTGGTGGTCCTGCAAAGGAGAGCACCAGAACTAGGGCTCCCCCAACACAGATGGCAAATGCTGGGGTTTGTGCCAGAGACAGCATTGCAGCTATGGGTAAAAGGATATGCAGCTCCGAACTGGAGGCTGGTTCTGCAGGACTAAGAAGTGGAGCTGAGGCAGAAAGGGGCTCTGTAGCATCCCCCGAGGCTGGTGCTCTGTCTGCCCTGCAACCCGGAGCCAAGTTGGCAGATGGCCCTGATTGTTTATGCGATGCTGTAGCTCTCGCAACCCAGAGCCCCACAGTCTGTACTCCAAGCACAAGGTGCACTGGAGCAGGTGCTCCTAACAGGTAGAAAATCAGACTCAAGGATAGAAGGAACTCCAGTTCTGGTTGGTTGTCAGCCAAGCTGACACAGGGCTCCTTCTCAGCACTATATTCTGGTGCTCTCTGAGCACTGTGGACAGCAGGCATGGTGGGAGCTGGCTTAGACTCTGTGCAAGCACAGAATGCTCTTACGGCACAGAGCACCAGTGTCAGCACTCCAACAAGTGAGAGCACCCCAGCCGGTCCTCTTAAAATAAACAACAGTAGAGTTAGGATCAGAAACACGGTCAGTTCAGTACTGTAGGCTGGTTCTGGGGAACGCAGAGTGGGAGCCAACCTGGCAAAAGTCTTCCTGTCAGCACTCCCTGCTGGAGTGCCATTGGTACCGTGGAATGGATCCCTGGTGACAGCTGTCTCTGATTTGTCACAAGAGCATAGTGGTCTTAGGCCACAGATCACCAGAGTGAGTACTCCCACCAGACACAGTAGGCCTGCTGGTGCCCCTACAATGAAGAGCAGCACAGCCAAGGGCAAAAGCACATTCAGCTCCTCACTGAAGGCTGCTTGTCCGGGGACATGAGGCAGAGGCGAGGTGGATGCTGGCTCTTCCTCAGCAGTGGCTTTCGATGTGAGCTGGGGCCTGAGCACAGGAGGGGAGCCAGAGCACAGCTCCATCTCCCCACCACATATGGACACTTCTCCCACCCTCAGCCCCGGAGCTGAGGTGCCATTGGGCTCCACCTCAGCACTGCCCGCCGCTTCCTGGACCCTGCGCACTGAAGAGATAGTGGGGGATGACTGCCCTTCATCACTGGCTGCTCTTGTGGCTTCAGGACTCAGCAGGAGAGCCAGCTTGGCCTGAGGCTCCTCAGCCACACAAGAAGGTTCAGCTCCCTGAGCGCTGCCATCCAGATTCAAGGCAGAAGTGGCCTCTGCTTGGGCTCCTGATGAGGCTCCTCCCACTGCAGTGGGGACCACATTCACGGATGGACTTGACTGGGGCTCTGAAGTTGGTGTGACATCTACCACTGGAGCTGCGGGTGGAGCTGCAGGAGGAGACAAGGTCTTCTCCATGACTGCTTTCTTCTGAGTGTTTGTAAAGTCCCACAGCACCCTCCTCCCTGAGATTTCCCCACTTAGAAGCTTCCATGCATGCTATTGCTCAACCTCTCTATGCCCATACTCTTGTCCCTGGCCCATGGCTACTTTTGGAGCCTCCTCCCAGTGGTGCCCTTCACCTCCCACCCCTCCCCAGCCCATGGCTCCATCCCAACTACCCACCTAGAGCCTCATCCTGCCTGACGTCCTGGATCCCCAACTCTGCCAGGAGGTGGGAGACATGGAGCTCCACGTCAGAGCCACGCATATGGAGCCTCAAGTGAGCCAAGAGCCCCTGGAGGTAGGGATGTTGCGTGGGTTCCAGGGAGACTTCTGGGTGGCAGTCCAGCCAGGTGCTCAGAAGGCCTGAGATAGCACTAGAGGAACATGGGTGGGAAGCAGCGTCTGAATAAAGCCTAGCACCTGCCCTGGTCTCCCTCATTCCCCTGGGATGATCGCTGCTTTTGCAGAGACCAGCACCGTCCAACATCAGCCCCTTTTCTCTGTACCAACAGTGGCAAGCCCACCCAGCCAAGGCCTGCAGAGAAATTTCATCCAAGGTGGGAACCAAGTCCAAATGCTGTAAGCAGCCCTGTCCTCTTCTGCAATTTGCCCATCATCTCTCCCAAGGGCCTCCAGATGCTGGACTCTAAAGGCCTTGCTGTCTTGCCTGGCATGCATAGGGTTCCGGCACACCTCCTAGGGAGCTCTGTTGCCTCCTTCCCCAGGAGCCTCACATGAGCTGTCTGCCTACCTCCAGGTTGTTCTCCTTGTGTAGCTGCCACAGGGTGGCCCTTTCTCTCACTGCCACCCCTAGCAGCATCTCCAGGGCTCTGACCATGGACCGATGTCCCTAGGCCTACAGTGGAGCTCATGGGGAGCTGGTCAAACCTGAATGGCATGGACTATGATGAGGATGGATTCTCCTGGAATTCATCCAAAGGCCCCAGCCACTACCTCTGCTAACAATACTACCCCATTGTGCTGTTTTCCTCCTGCTTCTATAGATGAAGCCTCACACCCCAAGGATCTGGTGACAAGCACAAGAATTGAGGGCACCTGACTTGGCCCCATCTTTCCAACCTTCCACCTAAACACTCATTTGTCACCACTGTGGACACTCATATTCTCCCTGCAGACCAAAACCCACTACTCACTAGCAGATCTGGTGCTGGGGAATGACATCCTCTCTGGAGTCGGCTAGGGTGTCAGTCTGTCCAAAGGACTCCATGGGGGCTTCATAAGTCCTGAACCTGTTGAGGATTCCAAGCATCACTGGCCAGCCCAGGACAGCCAGCAAGTTCTTGCTCTTCTCACACCACTAAGCTCATGGTCTGTACATCGGCCCTTCCTATCTCTTCCCTTCTCTTCCAATTTCTTTCATGGATGAGGAATCAACTCCTGTCCTGATTAATTTAGGAGCCCAGAGGCCTTCTCTCTGGCCCCAGCCATTCCTGCTCTGCCTACACCTGGGTGGGACCCTGTTCCCAGAGACAATTGGTTCCCTTCTTGCTAAAGAAACACATTGCTTTGTCTCAGGCCTCAGGGAAGCAGAGTGACCGAGAATATACCACAGTCCTAGACAGACGCTATACTTGAATAGCCCAGCCCAGCCTAGCCCAGGCCTTGCATGCTTGGTTCCTCCAATTCTGGCAAGTGCCAGTGAAATAGGTTCTGTGAACCCACCACAAGCCAGGCTTCATTGCCAAGGGTCTCACTGTAGCTGTGCAATCCTATCTTATTGGAGTTGGCACGCACCTTGTGAATAGCAGGTCCAGTACCTACTGGGTTTCTGCAGAACTCCTGTAGTTGGGCAGACACCAAGTGTTCCAACTGCTCCTCCAGGGTTCATGCCATGAGGAACTCTGACCTGCAGGCCTCCTCCGAGCCAGGGGACAAGTGATCTTCATTCTTGAGGCGAACCGAGGAGGGATGGTTCAAATGCCATCTAGAAAACTACAAGAAGATTCATGGCCACACACATGATTGAAATAACCTGAAAACACTGATTGCTCACAGAAGCGTGCACACACACACACACACACACACACACACACACACACACACACAGAGCAGTAAGAGCCAATGAGGTTTAAGGAGGTGGAAGTGGTGGGTCAGCCTATAGTTTCCTGGCCTGGGCAGCCCCACGTCACCTGTGAAGTCCTGAGGAAAAATCTCCAGAAGCAGCGGCAGAGGCCTGGGGGCACCCAGTGTGGACACAGGTGCCCCAGGCCCCCTCTCCACCCTTCACTTCCTCTTGAATTTCTCCTCCTCCAACCACAACAGGAAAACTCCTTCACAATATGCACGTTCCACACAAGTGTACTAGCGGGCAGCTTGTATGGACTGTGGGTTCCTGCAAGAACCAGGGGTTAAATGCTCTGAGCCATTGTGATGTCATATCTTTAGAGTTCTTCACTTGAGCCCTTCTGACCACACCCTCTCCGCAGTCCCCTGTTTATCACTTGTGCTGTTGTTTTCCATGAGCACCACTGGCCAGGATGACTCTAACCCCCAGCACAAGGTCTCCAGTTTATGCTTGGAGGAAGAGGTATCCACCATCATGGAGATGTATAGACATTGGTTCATATGCACACTTCCTCCACTCATACAGATGTGACCCTGGCCTTTGAAAGAAAAGTAACTCAAAAGACCACTCCTGAAAATGTCACTAAGAGGGAAAAGATGAATTGGCTTTTGAACTGACAAGGCCAAGTTCTCATGAGGGAAAGGAGAAAATGGCGTCGTCCACCTTGTCAGAGGACCCTTTTAACAGTCAGGGTTAGAGGTGGGAGGTGCCTCTCATGCTCCACATGTGCTGCCTTCCAGGGCGGGGCTTTTGTCTGGGAGGGAGTGTTTGCTGACGTCCATATCACCCCTTTTTGGTTGAATATGTATAGTGTGGACAGGGAGTGTGGGTGAGGGTCATTTCTTCTGGAGCTCCTCCCTGCTGAGGGGGGGTGAGATAGACAATGGGCATGGGAGGGCTAGTATTGTTCAGGATTTGGACCAAGGTCATCATGGTTATGAAGATGTTACTTGTCCAGTGCTGGGTCCTCTTGTTTCTCGATGACTAGAGCAACACTATGTCCAGCCTTTTTAATCTGCAGAGACAGGGTTGTAGTCAGCTTAACTCATCAGGCAGGTAACATTTAAGAATGCCAAGATGATTCCTGTGTGGATAACGGTGGATGGCTCTATGTTTAGGTCTCAACATTAAGTTTCTATGTCCCCTGTTAGACCTTGGCCAAACAGATGGGGACTATCTTGGAACCCATGAGGCAAATCAGTCCAGGGGAGCTGAATTCAGGTGTATGTAGCTGACAGGTTTACTTCACACAAAGGTAAAGGGGTCCTGGGAAGAGGGAGACAAAGGATAGTCAAAAGGCATCTTTGAAGTCCAGCGCTGTGTAAAATGCAACCATTGCAGGGGTTAGAAAGCAGCATATAAGGGTTGGGCACAATGGGGTGTAAGGGATAATGGCAGCATTTACAAGGCAAAGGTCCTGCACAGGCGGAATGAGCCATTAGCTTTGGCGATCCCAAAGAAGCGGGTATTCTAAGGAGCGCTAGTGGAACATAACAACTCTTTTCAAACAGAATTTAACAACTGGTTATAGTCACAGAAGACTGTGGCAAGGGAGGGAGTCATGGGGTTGTGAAGGGAAATGTTGGGGGTCCCTCAGGGGGATACGAATGGGAGGGTGGTGCTTCTCAATAGAGGGGTTATGAGTACCCCAAACCTTGGGGTCACCTCAGAGGGTGGAAGAGGGAAATGCAAGGAGTCACTAGGTGAGCCTACTAAAGCAATCAACAAGGAGATTGTGGGGGAGGCAAATCACTATCACATTGTGACAGCTGGGAAGGGCATAGGTTCATAGAGCTCCAGATATGGCCAAGAGGTCTCTACCCAGCAGAGGAACTGGACAGTGGGAATAACAAGGACAAGAGAAAAACACAAATTGCAGGGTGGGATTAGGGGTTTGTAAACTGATACATTGCATGAGCACCTTAATCTGGACAAATGAATTGAATTAGCTTATACTTGTATCTTTTTGTCCTCATATCCTGTGTGACCCTCAGTTTTTCTTCGCTTGATCCTATTCTACGAGTTTGATGTTTTATTCACATTTTAGAGAAGCACTAGATGTGTTAAGAAATATTCATTTTTTATTATTTTCAAAGTAATGTACAGACGGCTTTCAGTTAGATAAGTTAGATAGCAAGTAAATTCCTAATGAACATTGTTATCCCATCCCTCAAATTTCTCCCAATTTCCTTCCTTCCAACACCCCTCCAACAAGTTGTACAGATAGTGTACAACATATTGTCTTGTGTAGATGGCTGTTGCAGTGGTTACCTCTTTATCTTATTATTTTGCTGTTCCCCTTCTCTATTCTAATAACAATAAACCTTATAAAAATACCAGGTAAAAAAATCAAATACAACAACAAAAGAGGATATACCATAGGGGGAAGAACACACACAAGAAACAAAAAAATCCCAAAATTTATTAAAAACAGTGGCAACAGAAAAAAACTCTTATGTCCATATCTTGGAGTTCATTGCCCTTAGCATCATCTTTATGGTCATATGTAGATGGCTATTGAGCTATTGTGCTCATCTGCTAAATTTATTCTAGAAGTATAGTAATAATTGCAATTAAGGGAAACCATGGGACCTATGGTCAATCACAGGATTTTGAACCTCTTCTCCATGACCAGAAAGACCAACAGCATGCTGCGACAACAGAGTTCAATGTATTCTCTGAATGATTCGTCTAAGAACATATGAGTTTGAGAGTTGGGGTAGCATTTAGTTCTGGGTATCCATAGTTTCTGGCCCTCTAGAGAAAACATTTGCTGGTTTGTCCCTTATCCTAAACCTGCTTTTTAGAAATTTCCCAAAATGGAAGCACTGTTGTTGCTCTCACAGTGTGCATGGCAGAGAGTTTATGTCCCAAGTATTGTGAATCT